GGCCCAGGGCATAGGTGAGAGCCTGAAGCTGACAGCTGTGGATGCATTTTGGAGGGAGCTGTCTCTGAGCAGGTAAAATCCCTCTGGAAGGAAGGAGAAGGAGCATGTTTGGAAGGCAGGTCTGTGGCCTCACAGATGAAGGAGGTTCCCAGTTGCATTTAATCCCAGCTAATTGCTTGAAATTAGCAGGAGGTAGAGGTGATCTGAGAAAAGGCTTAAGAACACCAAAGAGGTAGGAAATGCTGGAGTTGTGATCAGGAATTTGTGCTACAGGTGCAGAATTTGGTTGGAATTGTACTAGTGAGGATGGTTTAGCAGGGAGACAGTACCAGATCTGTTTATAGCTGCTGCAACAGGGTGTTGGGACCAAGCAGGGATGATTGGTGATACTAAAGGGTACTAAAATAAGAGCAGGAGCCTTGGGCTAATAAAGGAGAATAAGGAAGGATGTGTAAGGAAAGATATATAAGGAAGGAATAAGTAGAAATGAGAATGCTGTGTAGTGAAGAAGGACTAGAGATGAAATACATGTACATTTTGGGGGTGGTCTCCAAATGGAGTAACTGTCTGGCTCCAGTTTTCCTTATGTGGAGAATGTGGGACTCAAAGGTGGTGGTGAATCAAAGTGAAGGTTTCAAGCTCTGAGCCACGTTACAGGGGGACTGTTAAAGTGCTGGCATGTGAAATCATGGGAACAGTAGCAAGAGTTTCTGTAGTTTAAGTGGTGTGGCATCCTGTGACTAGAAACCAGTAAAGGCAAAACATGGCTATAAGGAAGTAAAGCCAAAAAAATGGAAACAAACACCGATAGTCCTCCCCTAGTTGGAGAGTTTTGCCTTACGCGTGGCTGCAGGAGGGAGGAGGATGTAGTGCATCACATGCGTGCAAACATCCCCAGCTGAGAGGGGATGAGCTCTAGTGCTCTACTACTTCATCAGCCCCAAATCTATTGTATTTTGCATGAGTTTCAGTCAGGAGTTGTGTTGCCTGACCTTGGAGCCACACCTGGACCCCATGGGGAATCCAGCCTTTCTCGTGTTCCTCTCTCCTATCACTTGTGGTTCATACCTTTCTCAGCTCTGCTGCTCCTGGGTGCTCCCGCACCCTGCCGTTGTGTTATAAATGGATGGCTGTTGGTGTTGGTTGATATTTAATGAAGTTCAGTGTAATACTCTTCACTCATTTACTTATCCAAACAGTCTTAATACCCAGCCTGGGAAAGTTATCTTGGCTTCTTCAAGCTTTTCCACCATTAGCAATAAACATTTTACAGTCTTGGCAAGCTGAGGCTGAGACGAGAGCATGACTTCAAACAGCACTGCTAGCAGAGAAGGCTTTAAACTGATATTAAGTCGCTAAACTGTGCAAACATAACAGTCCTGTAATAAAGATAATCTCTGTACAGTTCAGGCCAAGAGGGGTTCTGGCCCTCGGGGTGCAGGTGGAAGCTCGGTGCCCTGTGGATTACACAAACCCTTTGGGCAGCTCAGCACCACGAGAGAGAGCCAGCAGTCCATGATGCTGGGCGAGGCCTGCCCACGTGTGGGGCTGTGTTGTGTCCCAGGCCTGAGTTTCTGCTATCGAGGCAGAGCAGGAGGGTGAAAAGGAGCATTGGGGAATGGCAGACAATATTTATCCACCGAGCAGGGCCGTGCCAGGCTGGTGCAAGCCTGCTCTGGATGTGGTAGCTGGCCCGTGGGGTGCTCGGCTGTGATGCAGTCCAACAGCTACTCCTCCATGCTTACAGGCACAAAGAGGGTGAAGTGAAAATATGCCCTAAATTACCATAAACATTCATGGTCTCAAAGCCTGGAAGACTCCTTCCAGCCAGTCGTCCATGCCTGCTCTTGCCCTGTGTGTCTCGGGGTGAGAAGGGGATCTCAGCTTTGGTTCTGAGAAGTAAGCATCCCTCTGCAGAGCTCTGCCCCTGCTCTGCACGTGTGGCGGGCCAGAGCCACATGCAAAGCTACGGGAACAGTCAGTAATATGCAAACACATTCAAAGCTGTCACATCTGCCTGGGAAGCAGCTGTTCCCATACGTACGCAGGCAGAGACCCCCTCCCAGCCACGTAAAAGTCATGCTCACATGCAGTCAGCCTTGCAGCCAGGTCACAGTGTGACAGACACAGCCGTACCCATCCCAGGGCCTGAGAAAAGATTTCTTTCCTCCTTGGCTTTACTAGCTTCAAGACTAACCATGTTTTCGCAAAAGCTCGGTGAGGAATGTGCTTGGCAGGGCCTCTGAATGTTTTAAATATTACAGGATTTCTGTAGTTTAATTTATTCTGAACAGACCGTGTTTTCTCAGCCTTCCATCATGCTTCCCGGTGTCTTTGCACAGCGGAAGGAAAGCAGCTGGCTCCGTGGTGGGATGGGTCCCTGGCAGGATCAGCCCTTGCTGGGTGCTGTGGATGTGCTGCTCGGGGAGCTGTGTGTCCTGCCAGCACCTCTGTGGTGATGCCACAGCGCTGAGGGCTGTGTTAGAGCAGCACGAGCACTCGGTTTTGCTCCTCCAAAATCCAGCCTGTAAGCGGTGGGGGCAGGATGAAGCTGATGAAGCACTGCTGCTCCCTGGGTTGGACTGAGTGCTTTGCTCTGGGGATTTTCAGCCTGGTACCCGTCACAAGCCCTTATTTCAGTGGGAAGAAGTGAAGCAGTTTCTGTGGCCTGTATTTTCTGTGAGTAACCACCTGCAGCAGGGGTGGCCCTAGGCCTCTGAAACCTGATGAAGCAGCCAACCTGGCATCACTCCAGGCCCAAAACTAGAGTAAGCCTTGGAAATACAGTTCCCAAATCACCTTCCTTCCCAAGGTAGCTCAGACCAAGAGCTCTCCACCTCCCGGGCTTTAGCAGGGAGCACGCTGGTGACCGCAGCAGCCTCTTTTTTTCCTACAAGGGCACCAAGCTGCAGGAAGTGACTGCCGTCCTGTTTGTGCCGAGCTCCCCTGCTCACTCTGCACGTAACGAAGCTGACAGTATATTGCCACCTTTATTGGCCTGGCTGGCAATTTTTCAGGTGCTAGGTGTGTTTATGGCTGTCAGGGTCACACCTGAATTAGGAATGGGGAGAGGGATTTTAAACGTACCCACACCTTACCCTTCCCTCTCCAGTCTGTCGGAGCGGAAGGGGACTGCGCAGGGCACGGCCTGAATTCCCAAACTGGTTGGTATTTTTTGCACTCAGCCTTGAAGGAACCTGACAGCCTGGCACTCAGAATTGCCTGGCTCAGCAGTGCCACGTTGCTGAGCTGTCCCAGCTGCCTCTTGTTTTTCATGACTATCTGTGCCTGTGTGTGCACTTGCAAGTTTAATAGCAGCAATAGTTGCTTTTGTCAGAGATGATATGCAGGCCATAAAGCTCATTTGCCATTTTTTTGTTTGTTTCTTTCTTTCCACTGAGATATGAAAGCTGTGGAAAAGGCTCCAAAGCCTGTTGGTGATTTCATATGAGGGTTATATAAGGAATATGAAAAGAATGCATTTCTTAGTGGCCAGAGTACCTAAAAATACCGCTTCTGCAGATCTTTGTTTGAACATCATGAAAATATCTTGCAGCTGGAGATACTAATCTCTGGGATAATGTCCTCAGTTTAGGTAGCAAGCACAGAAGAGAACAGTAAAAGGCTCTCTTGTCCAAAAACAATGTCAGGAAGTTGTCTCAAAAGCCAATACTTCTGTCCTTACAGAAGCCACCCCCTGTGTCATGGGACATTGCCTGCAGGCTCCAGGGAGCCCAGGAGGATAAAACACAGCCTGTGCATGGCAAAACCAGTGTCTCAGTGTGATTCCAGGCTGGAACGACAGAAGAGGTGAGGGCTGTGACTGAGGATACCTCATAAGGACAAAGTTGTCTCTGGGGCTGTTTGTAGGTTTTTTTCCAAGCAAGCTGAATCCAGCAATGAGAAAAATCTTCTAGGGACTGCACTGATTTAAGATTAACCAGGTAAAGGGCAACCTTGATAGAACAGTTCACGGGAAGGAATCCAGGAGAATTTATTGCTTCAAAGATTTGATATTGCATATGCAGAGCTATTAGGGCATATACCCAGGTGAAACCAACTGTGGGTCACGGGGTTCCTGTGCAGACAGAGCAGTCCTGGGTTTTATTCCACATTAAAGGCAAGGAATTAACTCCTTTTCCTTTTCTTGACTAATCACTCAGCCACTGTGTCTGGGCTGATATAACGCATCTAGCAATGGCATTGGGGTTCTGGATCATCAGCTGGGGAAGGGTGCGTAGGTGCTGGGGTGTGTTGTTCGAGGCCTGCCCTATTCTGGGCCCTTGGTGTCTGAGTGAAGGCAAACTTTAAGTTCTGTCTCCATACAGCCCTCAAGCATAGCTGCATCTCATACCTGTTGACAGGTATGAGATGTTTTCACCAACACGACTAACTGGAAGGTCACTGGATGCACAAGGAGGCTCGTGATGTGAGTAGCAGGCTGCAAAACCAGGCTGCCCCTCAAGCCCTTCTGCCTGGGGTGGGACTGTCCTCCTCACTTCACCGTTAGGGGCAGGAGATGGGGAGACATGAAGGGCATCTCAGGTGGATCAGCACTTAAAATGCTAGATGTTGCTCCTCCCCAGATACCAAATCTTTATAGCAATCTAGACCTCTCTCCTCTCTTCCTGTTATCTTGCCAGGAATGCTGCAGCTGAGAGCAGGCTCGCGTGATCAGAGCAGGTCATTAGGAGTCTTCTCTAATTGTCAGGGCATTTCTTCACCTTTACAACTGGTGACAAGCTGACTTTCACTTTATTGTCTTATTGTGCCCTATAAGCTCACTCTGCCTTTGACTGCACCTGTCAGCAGCAGGTTGGCTGTGTGTGAACCAAAGCAGAATCATTGCCCCAAAATACTAAAAAATGACCCTTAAAATACGAGAGGGATTTAGAAATTAATGGGTTCAAAATGCTAATAACATTTTAGCTTCCATCGCTTGGCACTCAGAGTGTGGTTAATTGAAGTTTTTAAGCTCTTTGGAATCATGGAAGTAAATATTTATTCTTCGTGGTTGTTTTAATGAAAATTGGGGTTGTCATTCAACCTTATGATTCCAGCATACATGGCTTCAGGACAGACACCAGCTAACATTAGGCTCCCCATGAAATAGTGATAGCTGGCAATGACATCAAACACTTGTTTTTTAGTTTTTTCCTCAATACACATATGCTTTGTGCTCAGACCAACAGGGAGGTGAGCTCCTGAATTTAGAATAAATCTTCCCAGAAGAAAGAAATCCATCTGTCTGGGAAAAGTTAGAAAATATTTTGGCATTTATTTCTTTTTTTTTTTTTTTATGAATACAAACTCTAGTGAAGAAATATTCCTCTGTTTCCATTGGAAGGCAGTAACCAGCAAAAATTAATGTACAGTATCGAGGAATGCTCGGTGCAAATGGACCACAGTGATTCCCCACAGAGTATCTCTACATACGGGGAAAAAGGTTGCTGCAGTTGGAAAAGACAGCCTGGTTAATCTTTTTTTTTTTTTTTTTTGCATTTAATCTCCCAATTATAAATAATCAATGTGATTTACAAAATAATTTACAGAAAATGATTGGATTCATCATTGCAATAAATTACTCAGTATAATGCCACCAGCTCTCAGGGACGATACAACGCTTCTGACGCCGTGGGCGCAAGGTGAGGTGTTCCATGTTTGCATTGGCGATCACGGCACAGAGCTGCAGCTCCTCTGGTGTGGCTGGCTCAGATTCGTCCCTGCTGGGGACCTGTCCCAGGCCCCATTTTTGCTGCGATTCCACCAGCTTCATGTCCCCACAGGGCCCACATCACCCCACATAGCCGGGACCCGCAGGAACGCAGTCTGTGGTTCGGTAGAGCTGCTGTTGCCCCAGTGCTAAACCAGGATCTTTCTCCTTGTGCTGGGTTTTCCAGGGCACAGATGCTGTGCATCTGCTGTCGGCCTTCTCTCACAAAAAAACATTCGTTCCAGGTTTTCTCAGCACCTCTGCTGTGGTGCTGCCAAAACTGAACCTGAGGAGAGGCCTGGAGGCCGTGCCCGCGGAGGCGACGGGAGGGCTCCTTGCCTGATTTCAGCTGTAAACCAAAGGTCAAACCTGCATGGTTTCGGCCCTGGCAGGCTTCAGAGAGTAACAGAAATAGGCAGGCACAGGGAAACGGGGGCTAGGCTGTGCAGGCTGGGGCAGACCGAGGGGCTCTGGTGGGACAGGGCCCTTCCCTGGCCTCTGTCGGTCTTCGCTGTGGGACTCAAAGCACTGTGTTTTGAGGCTCTGCTCTCAAACCTGCTGAGGTCTGGAGGAGCCATAATGAGTTCTTATCACATTGTGAAGCCCTATAAATCTGTTATCAGCCACTCACTCTAAGGAGGGAGTGTCACTGAACTGGACACGTAGATCATATGGCATGTCTTAGCGTTAAAGCAAAGGGTCTGAGCTGAACTCCTGGGTTACAACACTCCTGGCACTCAGGAGTCTGTCTGTGAGGCCCAGGCAATTCTCACCCTCACAGCCTGTGCTGGGGTGGCCCCATCCCACATTCCCCGGCTTCCCATGCTGGGTGGTGAGGAGGCAGTAGTGTAAAGGAATGATCTGGCTGCCTCTCTGAGCCCTGTGGTGGGACAGCAGCCATGGCATGGAAACAGCAAAACCCCTCAAAAGGCAGCAGGATACAAATAGTGGAAAATCCCAGTGGGCAAGTGTGCCTGAATCAGCTGAGAAGGTTTGGTAGAGCTGGCTGGGAGCTTAGTTTGCTGGAAGGTGACCATGGTAAGGTTTGGGGTGAGCTGAGGCTGAGGAACCGTTCTCTCAGTGCTGCCTGGGCAAACCCCAGTGTGCTTCACCTGCAGCAATGCTCCTAGGGCAGCTGCCACCTCCGAGAAGTCTGGCAGGATGGGGGCTGTCTGGGGAGCTGGCATGGCTGTGGGTGGAGGCCCTCCTTTTGCACAGCACAGTGTCTTGGTTTGGAGAATTGCTTGTTCACAGGGTCTGGTGCATGCTGAACCGACGCAGAGAGGCAGCAATGGGGAACAACCAGCTGCACTGTCCACAGCCAGTCCCTGCAAACCTCCCAATGGAGGCAGACAGAAATCTGGCCCTTCTTATGAGGAATGAGGGTTTCAGGAAGGCTTCAACCTTAGTTCTGTGACTCGAGGCTCTCCGTGGCGTGCGCTGCCCATAGCTGCAGGAAGACAGCTTTTGGTAGTGGTGGACTAGTCCAATAAGCAAGTCCGTGTGTTTGTGCCCGAGGACCTCTGGATGGCTTCTCTTTTCACAGTGACAGAGGCAGCTCGGGCTTTTCTCCCACACGGTCTTCTCAACGAGGCCAGCCGGTCTGCAGCTTGCTAAATGACCTCCTGTTTTGTGATGGCAGGCTGTGGGATGGAGCTGGGCTGTTTCGCCACGGTTGCAATGGCTCCGGGCAGCAGCTTGTACTGCTCTGGCCCTGAGCCCGCGGGTGGAGATGGCTGGGGAGTTTCTGGAGTTGCTACAGAGAGAGACACAAAATTAGAAGAGGGCCACATGGACCTGATGGCAATGGGATCTATACCTTATCCGTGCTTGGTTCAGCTGTAAGCCAGACAAAGGCTCTGTAGCAAAACGATAGCCCCTAATGGCTGGTGTGTTGGCTGCAGGGCAGCCCTGACATGCGGGCATGGTTAGATGCCCTGGGAGAGCCACAGTGATGAACACTGGATGAAGGGGGAGCTACTGGGCTTTTAGCCTGTACTGGCCACAGTTTTTGGTCAGCTGAGATCGTTTCAGCCCAAATTCCCATGTGGTAACCTTTTGTGTTGGATCAGATTCTTTTGTGTTTTTGCACAGGGTGAAGTGAGGTGTGTTTGGACCATTCAAGGTAAGGGGAGCCTTTCCACTGCTCTCAGTAAGCACTGGGTGGGATCATCCATCTCTAAATTTAAGGGCTATGCAAAAATTACAGTCTGCCAGGGAGTATCTTGTTGAATCAGTCCATCCTGCTCTGATCTAATCCACTTCTCTGTTTGTCTTTCCCTCCTTTCTGCATTATCTTGCAGACCTTTATCAGAGACTGTCTTGCACTGAAATGTCCTTGCAAGGTAGAAACTACCTCCACACATTGGAAAGCTCTCAGTTTTACCCGGGGTCTCCCCTCCCTCTGGCAATACTCACACATCTGCCCATTGTGCATCTGAGGAGGCATTGTGTTGGCCACAATGACGTTTGTTCCCAGGTTCTCCTGGATCAGATGAGGGTGCAGGGGGTGGTGAGCATGCGGCGTTTCACTTGATGACCCTACAAACATGCATGTCATATTAGATGCCAATACAGCAGAAAGAGACATCTCAGATGGGCAAAAAAAACACTGCACCAAAATGCCCAGGCCTCCCCAGTTGCGCACGATCAGCTTGTACCTATCCCATATTTCTCCACAGATGCCTTGGGCTCAGTAACCCTGCCTGCATTTACTTTTATGTAGGGTTACATCGCTCTTCTCTTGAGACACATTTGTATGGTAAAAAAATAGCACAGTGACTTCTCCCTCTCTCTCTCTTTTTTTTTTTTTTTTTTTTCCCATTGGATGCTTCCAGTAGAAAATATGGGATGCACTTTCAAGCTGGTCTTTCAGACCCTTTAGATTAGACAACTCCCTCCTGACAGAGGAGGATCAGTGAAACAGCTGGCTCGTAGGAGTCTGGGGGTTGCACTGTGACACTTGTCTACATGCAGAGGGCTGGGGATTCCTCTCTGTAAGTAGCTGCAGAGGCAAAGCATCTCTTTAGGTGATTAGAAAATAAATACTCTTTGTTATAACTGCAAATGACAGGAGGAGATGGTTTCATGCGAGTCAAGGGCTGACCTGCAGACAGGCTGGATCTCCGCCTTTTATAGATGGGGAACGGTGGCTGTGAGGGTTCCCAAGGGATCAGGAAGAACTGGGAGGCCTCTTGCAGGACCCTCAAACACTCACCTCCCAGAAGCATCTCCTGCAGCAGGTTGTCGATCTTAGCCATGCCGAAGAGCTTAACAAACTGGATCTGCTCTATCATCTGCCAGGTGATGCTCTGCAGCACGGGCAGCAGCAGCAGCAGCTCCCCGAAGCGGCCCCGTGAGTCGTACTGCCGGTCATTGATGTAGTCCTCCAGGCTGACCTGCACCTGGTACCGCATCCGCTTGATCTTGGAGGGGTCACTCAGTCCTTTGGCATCTGAAACAACCCACAGAGCAAACTATCCAGGCTGCTTCCCTAGGAACTGTCCTTCAGTAATAACATGAATTCTGGGCACAGGCTGAGGTGAGCTGTCTCTGATTCTCCGCTGTCTGTGGCAGTGGACATTTTTCTTCTTCTTGGTCTGACTTCACCCCTCCCTCTATGAACAGCTTGGCCCCAGGAGGAGACCAGGCGGCACTTCCACAGCTCACAACTAGTATTTGTTGGCATAACACCAACTAGTTCCCTTTGACAATGAGCCTTGCATGCTGCAAGACAGAGCATACCTGGGTCAAAGAAGATGATGGCTTTCAAGCAGGCGTATTCGTTATCATCTATCTGCAGCTCCTGGAAGGGGAGGACCAGCTCGTCCAGGATGCGGATGGCCACGCGGCTGACCTCCACCAGCTCGGGGCAGTTCCGTGGGATGATATGGTCATTTCCTTTGGACAAGCAGCACAGAGACCATCACCTCGTCATTGACCAAAAATTCATAAGGGTGACAAGGAGTTCAAAACCCAGACAACTAATGTTGAGATGGAAGCCTTAAGAAGTTCCTGTTTCTGCCTAGTATGGCCCACCAGAAATGCTGATCTTTTCTGCCAGAGCAGCTTCTCCCCACTCAGGAGTCACTCAAGCAAGGAGAAGCTGATTGAGGAGCAAGAGCTTCTTCTCAATCACACCACAGCCTGCTTACACTAAACCTGATGGGGATGTTTATTGTCAACTACCTTTGCCACACCAACAGGTTATGGTCCAGATGTGAATATGTGTCAGGCCTGGCTGCACACAAAGGGTTCCTTAAAAGCTCAAGCCACCACCCTGCAAAAAGGGTGCCTGCAAACACTGAACCACACTCTCCTTTATCCCAGCAGGGAAGCTTAGCAGAAACAGAGCAGCAGGGAGGAGCAGAAGCGCACTCTTTACCTAGCAGCAAGACATCCTTGAACACCATGGACCTCTTGGCAACTCCCAGTAACAGATGTTCGCCTGCATGTGCTCGCAGCAGTGCCACCTGCAAGGGTAGGGACAAGTTACTTGGGTGGTGCACAGACAGACACACACGGCTGTGATTTCATGTAAGCAGCAGAGGAAGCTGAGAATCTGTGTTACACTCAGGCTAGATGTATGGGAGGGGGAAGCAAGGGAGTGCTTAGGAAAATAAGGCTCCATCTTAGGAAGAGACTGGGTGAAACCATGATGACTGAGGAGGAAGGCAGTGGGGAGAGACTGCAGAGCAGCCTGGTCACGGGGCGGGATGGGGCTGCAGGGCCCTACCGGGGCAGCACGGGGGGATTCCTGTAACCCAGCCCACGTGCATCGTGCCCCTCGCTGAAAGCTCCCTGCTGCACTCAGTGACCCGGGATCAGAGGCCCAGGAATGAGCCTGAGGTGCCTGTGTGAGGGGAGATGAGGCTTTAGCTGTCTCTCACAGGACCAAGGAGGAGGGCTGCCATATCTCTGGGCAGTGCCCACAGGGACTCACGTCTACTGGCTGGGGGGTTGCTCTCTGGTCATTTGTTCCCTCCGTAGCAGTGGGCATTTGAGCCAGAGAAGCCAAAGGGATGTTTTTCTGCCTTGGCGTTAATGATTGAAGTGTTTCATTTTACACCCTCCATTGGCTCCCGAGAATGTTCTGAATCTTTTGCCCTCCTTCGGTTAAAAATTTCAGAGATTTAGGCAGAAACAAAAGTTAACAATTGGACAGCCTGACATGGAGACTCCTTAATATCCAGCCAGGAAACTCTGCTGAAGAAAACAATCATTAAACATTAAAGGAGAGATTCTGAAAAGTTTGTCCTGATGGGAATGGTCCCCTTTTCCAGTGGGTTATCTCTCAGCATCTGACAAAGCCAAGCAAAGTCCTACCCTACCAGAAATGTCAGGAAAGTGTATCACCTGTGGAAGAAAGCACTGGTTAAAAAAGATGCTGATGTCTGAGAGATGTTTTTTGGTGTTTTTTTTTTCTTTCTTTTTTTTTCTTTTTTTTCTTCTTGGGGGTGTAAAAGGGTTATGCAAAATAAACAGAGTGGAGGTCCTTGCAAAAAGACTATGCACACATGATGTTGGGGAACCTTTATCTGTATGCCCAAATCTAGCCTCTCTCTATCGCTATCCAAACATGGGTGGGTGTACTAGCTGAGCTGCTCGTAATTAGCAGAGCTGCACAAAGCTGAGCTTCCCATCTGCCGAAAATTTGAGAAGGTTGGGAAGACTGCAAGTCCCAGTGGGGAACAAACCCCTCGTGGAAATTTTCTGCCTAATCCAAATTCAAAAGCTCAGGTTGGAAACACCATTTTTGTATCCATACAATGTACTTTAAAGTTAAACTAAATTACTTCAGCAAAGCAAAAACATCTTAACTGTTCTTTGTTCTTGCAGTGATCACCCTGAGATACATCACTCCATTGTCAACTAGGATAAATATAAAAGTTGTAACACCGCAAAGTAGAACTTTAACTTTGAAGTGGAATGGCTTTGCCCCACCAAACCCAGTACTCTGACATTTTGGTGCAGAGGAAAAATGAGTTGGGTGTGACTTTTCCTATAAATATGCTGGCTGAGATGACTCATTCTGAGGCAGCATTTTAATGGCAGTGTCACAGCGTTTCCCAACATTACATGTTCCCACCGGACATGTCTTGACCAGCTCTCATGCCCCTTGGGCATTTGGCTCGCGTGTATTTTTGTTCATTCCTGCTCCCTGGCATGTCTGTCCTCCTTCCTGCACTCCCCTGAGTATCTGCTGTCTCTGTTCTCACACTCCGTCCCTCGAAAGCACGGATGTCATTAACTGATTAGGTTTAATGCAACACAGGCTTTCCTTTCAAGCCCTTTGGGACAGATTGGGAACTGCTCGTCACGGGGGAGCTGCTCATGGAAGTCATAACAGAGCTCTTTCTGTGGCATGTTCCGTGCGTGGCCTTTCCCTTCTGGGAAGGCAGCGTTCAGACAGTCTCCTCTTTAGGTTTTGTTTTCATCTTCTGAAAAGTTTGACAGCCCCACAATTGTAAAATGAGCTCAGGTAGAAATTGCTGTAGTTTGCAGTTGTTAACCAGGTTTACTGCCTCTGTTCCAAATGGCAGAAGGGGTTATGCCGAGCTGCCCCAAGCCTCCTCTGGGCTGCAGCCTGTTTGCTGTGTAAATGTCATTTGCTGTTGGACTCCATTTTGTTTTTCATAATTTTTCAGTTGTATTTGCCTTAGGAGTTTAGCAGGTTGTCGTTTTAAACAATTTAACACTTTCACACAGTAGAAAAAAATAATGGAATTAACTGTGCTTTGAAAGATCGTTAGATTCCCTGGGGCTCTGGGCTGCTAATTTTTTACTGAAGCTCTCAGCTTTAGCACTTAGGGGGTTTTGATCAGCTGGATACTCCCTGGAACTGGGCTGGAGATTAATCCTAGCTGAAGAGGACCCAGGCTGGTTTTGTGGCTGAACAGTGGCTGGATTGGAAATGCTTCCTACATGTAAGAGGAGCTGTGCTGGCCGCTGTCAGAAGTGTCCCTTCCCACTGGAGCTTCCCCACCATCCTCACATACTGTTTGAGCCAGGACGCTCATCATGTCCTGTGACATCTGGTCTGATATTTAGACTTAGCTGAAGATAGCTCTTTGTGTCTCTGATGCAGCATGAGATGTTGCAGTACAGTTTTACAGAGGAATTCAAACGCATGGTGGCTATCTTGGTTAGGAAATCCGTAAATATTTTTTTAGTTATTTGTGTTAAATGTAAATATATTCCTGCTTTTTAACTCCAAAGAGAGATTTTCTTAGTGCCTTGGGAGCAAGATAGTGTTTAGTTTCAATAACTTCACGCTAGGAGAATGAATACCAGCATATCCCCAGGCAAGAAAGAGGAACAAAGACAGACAGCTAGACAGCTAGATTTGTTTGGTCTTGAGCAGGCTTTAGGTGAGAATTCCTGCTAATTCCGATTACCCTGAGCATTTGTACAGCACTTCAGGTTTTCAAAGTGCTGCACAAACTAAAATCAATCCATGATCAACTGATAGATCCATACAAAATGCTCGCCTGATTGTGTGCCTAATTTCAGCTCGCTGTTATCACACCTGTGCTCGTGGGCTGATCAGTTGCACATGCAAATACCCTGCGTTGCCATTGTGTGTACGGGCTCCCCATCAGCCGCAGCAGCCCGATAAGGGAGTGAACAATGTGCATTTTCTTTGAAGGTCTCGGCTCTCGTTCGGCTCCCAGCCGCCTTGGTCGGGGCAGAGCGAGGCGAGTGGCCGCGGGCACTCACCTGGTCATCCAGGGGCAGCTCGCAGAAGGCGGGGATGTACTTGGCCCACTCCACCAGCACCAGCAGCTGCTGCTTCATGGACTCGCAGACGTCAGCGATGTTGGCGATCTTCTTCCCTCGGATGTCTCCGTTCATCACAGGAACTGGGGTTGATATCTGGAAGGAAATAAAGGAGCCTTCAGTTTTAATGCTGCAGAGGGAATGCAGACAGGAAAATCCCAGGCCTGGGAGGCTCAGGGATGTGTGCTGATGCAGACTCCAGAGGTGAGATTATTAGTTTTATCTGCTGCACATCCAGCCTCCAGAATATGCAGCCCAGTTCATTTCAAATTGAGGTCAAATCAGGTATCTGTGAATAAGAAACGTTGCAAAGCTGAGACTGTGGATCACCTTGGTGAACTGTCAGGCCTTGAATAGTTCGAATTCAGTAGAATTACAGTATGAATGCTCCCAAAGTCAAGATCTTCCTCCAACTGAACAAATATGCTCAGTCAAGATCCAAGAGGGAATGAAGGGGCTCATGTAGCAGTCAGCCTTTCCCTCTTGGTGTCCCTCTAACCTCCACACACACATTTTAGCCTTTTTTGCAAAACTGCACATGTGCAAACGTGCCCACAATGCAGGTCCCTTTTCTGCGTGGAGAATTATTTGGGATTGCAGAGGCAAATGGAGCCATTTCATATGCAAAGGAGAGGCCTGACAACTCTGCCAGTCCCTTCACCCAGAGAAAGAACATCTCCCCCAAACCAGGCACCCAACCTCCTGCCTGGTTCTCATGCATAGCTGCTCACCCAGCTCATCTGAAAACTTGCCCTTAGTCACTACTTTGTCCTCATGCTTCTGTAAGCAATTAACTCAACCCCATCACTGCCCTCTGCCTGCCCTGTCCGCTCATGTACAACATCAGCTCTTCCTGTCCTGTTCCTGCCAGCATTTTCAGCTTGGACCCTGCCAGCCTTCCTAAGGAAATGGAGTTCAAATGCCATCTGCGTGGTTTTTTTTTTGTTGTTGTTCAGGTTGCATTACCTGGAAGCTCTCCAGCTCTAGAGCTATTATTGAATAAATAAGATTGTAAAAATCTCACCACGTATTACCCTAATCAGAATGTCCCGGAAGGCTTAGCAAATAAATAAAGACCTCTGAGTGAGTGACCCAAGATCTTGGAGAAAACAGCTCCTCGGCAGTATCTTGTTCTAATTACTAGGAACATAAAAGTTACCAATTAGTGTGCCGGAGCCTGCCTTGTTTAATGAGTCTGCCTGTGCTCTGCGGGAGAGCAACAGCTCCCTGGGATTTGTCAATGGCTGTAGTTTTATCAGCAGACCCCACTCAAGCCTTACATATCATGTCACTGCAAGACCCAGAAATGCCCTTCCCTTGTAGGTCTGGTGACTTGAGACCCCGTTATCTCACCTCTCCAGGAGCAGCACCAATGTTATTTTTGGAGGGTAGATAAATACATTAGGACCTGTGCAGGACAAAGTGAGACATGGGTACACTGCTGTTGTCAAGGCTTGGCCCTTAGCCATTCTGATATATCCCCTCTTTAAGGAGCAGGACCTCACAGCCTGAGCACAGAGCCCAGAGCGTGGCGTGTCCTGTCCTGGGGCATCTCCCTGGGCACTCTGAGGGCAACGTGAGCCTTAGAGCAAGGAAGAACACGGACCACCAACTGGAACCCATCTTTGTTTTCAGGAGAACAAGGAGTGCTGCTCTCCTCAGCTCCCACGAAGGATGGCTGCTCCTGCCTCCAGCCATGGCCTGTGAGCTCCTGTCCTGTCCTGTGTCCTCCCACACAAAGCCGATTTGACAAACACTGTGTGCAGACTTTTAAACTGGAGTCCTCTTTTCAGTGAACGCTCTAGGAAATCAGTTTTGGCAGTATGTTTGTGGCGATGAGGAATGTCCAGCAAGCACTGGAAAGAATATCTGCATAAAAAAGCATGAAACCGATTCCTTGTGAAACTGTGCAGGAAGCTAGAAACCAGGAGTTCCTAACGGGCATCGGGGAAGGGAAACTGCCTGTGCGAGGCCAGCCCCTCGGCTGGCACAGACTGCTGCAGCTCCTTGGATTGCAATAACTCTCCCGTTTTCTTCCAGCAGGCCCTCCAGCCTCCATGTGCCCCACATTGCCTATTATTACAGCACAGCTCCAGACCAAGGAGCATTAAGGGGAAGGTTTCAGGTAACAATGTATTGAAAAACCGGCACTGAGTTGGCAGAAAAGTCGCTTAGAAAATAGGCAGAGATCTGAAGACTCAGCTGTTAAATACTCACCAGGCCCTAGTGGCCAGATAGTGCCTGATGTTTCTGAATTTGCCAGGGAAGAAAGAAGAGGTACCTGCTGTGCCAGGACTTCTGCCTGCAGTAGGACATTGATGGAGGGCAAGCTGCTGTCTTCATAACTTGATCTCCGGGTGCTGATTCGGTCCCGTTCGTTTTGTACAGCTGCAAGAGAGCAATTTGGCATAGCTGCAGGTTGTTCATGGAAATGCACAGCAAAAACTATCACAGTCTTTTGGCGTTTCCTCTCGCAGTGCTTTGGACCGCTTCCTGAGCCGCAATTTCCCAGCTTCCCTGCCTGGCAGGGCAGGGTGCAGCTGTCTCTGGTTTGTGACATGATGCCTGCGAGAGCTGACTACATTTAGTCATTCTGTGTTCACATTGCCTTTGTTAGGCTTTCCTGGGACTGGGGTGTTTCAGAGCTCAAGGACTTGGTTCGAAACCTGTGGGGTTCAAGGGGAAAGTTTCATTTCAGAGGACCTGGCTCTCAAGTTTTTGATTTCAAGATATAGGATCAGTGTCTTAGGGGAATCTCTGAGACTGTGGCCTTGCTCACACACAGAGCCCCCATACATGTGACATCGAGCAGCTGAGTACCCGCAGGGCTTTTTGTCTGTCCACGCAACTTCTGTGAGCTGCGTTTGGGAAGCTCCTGCACTGCATAGGTGCAATTTGCAAACCTCTCTCAGCTATGGTAAGGAAGAAAATGCAGACCAGCTCCTGTGTTTCTATCCAGAGCAACAGCGTGCTCTCACACCTTAACACAAAGTGAGTCCCAGGACAGGTGTCACTCCGGCACGCCTCCCTGCTTGGTCTGCTCTTGAGCAGGGCCTGAGCTCCAAATCCTAGAGGCAGCAGCAGCCGGAGCAGCAGCAGGAATGCTGAGGAGGAGATTTTGCCTCTCTGTCTGCTCCGAGGCCATGGGCTGGCCATAACTCACCACAGCCAAGCCAGTCACCCAAAGCCATCTGCTCAAATAAGGTATTGATCGATGGCAGGGGAAACAGAACAGTCTCTGCCTTAGGCTGTTGGCTCCCTGGATTGATACGTTCTCAATGTATAAATCCGCCTGATAAAAAGCAATAATGAGGCTGGGCCAGAAGCAAAGCCCTGCAGTCAGCGGCTGTAAATAGGAGCTCTCAAGGTTATGCCGCTTGTTATCAGTAGCAGGCCCCCGAGTTCAGTCACGCCATGATGTTTTCCAAATGTTTGCTCAGTATTAGCTGGTCATGCACCTAATGTAACTTCTATTGAATATTAACAGACAGCAGCAGAGCTCTGGGCACGGGATGAGCGGGCTCTGCGGGGAGAGGAGGATTCCTATGTTCTTCAGGAAAAGTCAGGCCCAGTTCCTTGCAACACCTCATCCGCTTTAACGGGGGAGAAATGCTCCTGCTCAGAGAACTTCCCACAGCCCTGTGTTCATGGGGCAGGGCCTTGGTGCCTCCACCAGCGGGGTCACCAGCGGGACCACCGGCAGCCCCTGGTGCCCTCACTGCTGTGAGGACTTCTGAGAAGCGAGCAGGGCTGAGCAGGGGGTGAATCCTGCCCCGTCATGTCTGGGGCAGGGGACCCAGAAGGACTGCAGAGACAGAGATGCAGGCAGGTCTGTGGGGTGCTCCCGGGCCATGCAGGCAGGTGGATGGATGTCTTTACTCATTTCGAGTAGAGGCATAGTTGAAATGCTCCACCTTGCTCTGGGTCCTTCCTGCCATGGCTGATGTATCAGGTAAAACTCAGCTGTCTACTGAGGGCCAACAAGAACCTACAGGCACACGAGGAAACAAAAGGGCAAAATGATAGCGGGACCCTTTGCTGGAGGCACCTGTCCTGCTGTGGATCTGATGGTGACCATGGGCACTAGCACTGACAGCAATGTTCCCAAAGTGTTTCTGAATTGTCCAGGCCTTCTCTGACGTTCCTGCATCTCACTGATATTAAGAAGTGTTCCCAGGTCGCTCGGACGTGGGAGCAGAGGTGATGTGTGTGTCAGTGTGAGAGTGCACTAAAGAGCCACGGGTGCAATTTGTATGTACAAGCATGGGAAGTCCTGGGACACAGGCATGGCCCTGGCTCTGTCTTTGCTGACCCCTGAAAAGGGCCCCTGAAATTGAATTTAGGAGCACACAGGGTCCCTGTGCTTTGCTTGGAAGCTTAATTGCCTGTTGGGATGAGAGCTGCTTGCAAAGCCCCAGTACAGATGGCAGCAGGGCAGGCTGGGCACATGCAGGGCTCATGATGAGGGGCCAAAACTTGCCCTAAACCCCCAGTGATGGAGGCCTGGATCTGTGCAGAGGGGAGGACTATGGAAGGAAGATGGGGCTAAGTTGGCTGAGCAAGTGTGCCCATGAACCGGCAGGGACTGGCCTTTGGCTGCAGGGGCTTCCTCAGACAGACAGACAGTGAACACTGCTGAGGGCAGCACGGGGAAGCCACGCTGTGACCCACCTTCTTTCTTCATTCCTGCTCGGAAGCACTTCTTAAGCCGGCAGTATCGGCACTGGTTCCTTTTGTCTTTGTCTACCACGCACTGCCTGTTAAACCTGGGAAGAAACAGGTGTGAGGAGCAGCAAGACCGAGCCTGTTACAGAAGTGAGGTGACAGGACAAGGCAGAGCCCCAGGCTCCACAATACACTTAGAGCAGATTTCCTGAGGCTCACCCTGAGAAAGGAGCCCCAGTCCATGCCACTTTCATGCTTACTTTAATCTGAACTGAGCACACTGGCCCTCTGCTCTACCCCTGGCTGAGCAACAAGGACAGGCTGGATCTGACAGTCACACACAGGAGCTCAGGATGCTGCTTGTGCATGCTGGCCACGAGGCAGAAATACTTGAGATGGAGCAACAACCCCAGGGAAGTTAAAAGTGTGAGCCAAGAGGGTCAGAGCCACCTTGGTAACCTTTATTATACGCTGGGATCCAGTCAGAAGGGAGGAAGAATGTGTTTATTATAAATTCAGAAAAAGGGTAGAAGTGAGTTTAGGTCCCTGCATCTCTCCAAGGCAGTGTGGGATCCAGGGAGGTTGCTCCTGACCTCCGGACAGCTTTGCTGGTCCACACACAGCTCTGCAGTCACCTCTGCTTCAGAGAGGAGGGGGCAAGCAACCAGATCTGGCCCTATACGCTTGTATTACCACATCGATCACACATGGGTGCATACGCTGATCTCCCATGTGTGGTTCTTGTATGCAACACAAGCCAGGTAGCCATTTGCAGCAGGAATTTCACTTGCAAATATGCTCTAATTTGCTGCTGATTGATCGAGCTTGCAAAGCAAAGACAAAGGCAAACAGAACTGGGAAAGGGCTCCCAGCCATGCCGAGTTCTGTAGCTTTTGTTTCTGCTGTGCTTCTGGAAGCCCCAGGCTAAGATTTCCTCAAATGGTTGACTGAAAGCAGCCCTTTAAGCATTTTTGTAGCACTTCTGTAGAAGGTCTAGTGTCAAAAGAGCGGGACACCCGGGCTTTTCTCACTGGAGCTGTGTGGAGGGGGCTCCCTGGGCAGCCAGGCTAAATAAACCTGGGTACAAATGAAAATATGTTTCATGTGCACTGCTAAATCTGGGGCTTCGTTCCATCACCCAGATTTGAGAGTCCCGTTGCTGTTCACACTGTTCAAGTGGCTGTCAGGACATCAGGAGTGAATCACTCAAAGGCCCTGAGGGAGTCGGACACCGAGCTGAGGGTTCCTCGATTTCCCTGACTCCAGGTCTCGGTCACTCAGAGCAGCGAGCAGGCAAGTCGCAGCCACTGGTGGCATGGAAGAGCCGTGGGCCTCGTGCCAGCAGCACTGGGTGAAGTGTGTGAGGTGCACGAGCAGCGCGCATGTCTCGTCCCGTCACGGGTCGCGCAGCCACGTGCACACCACGTTCCCCAGCTTATTGCCTCCTTGGGTGCTCAGGGAGCGCAGCAGGGAGATGGCAGACACACCTCCACCTCGTGATGGAGAAGGGGAAGGAGGCCACTGAAGTGCCCCCAGGGAGTGAAAGGGGTTTGTGCTGCACTCGGAGCGCAGGGCAGCAGTGTGCTCAGCCCATGGAACGGGGCTTCCCCACCAGCACCACCTGGCTTTTTGGTCGCATCCATGGTTAGCAACACCTGTTTGCAAAGAACATGTGCTTGGCCCCTAAAGTACGAGCTCGTAGGGTCTTCCCTCTGTAATCCCATGAGGGCCATGCCAGAGGGAGAGCTGTTGTGTGCCTCTGGCCCTGCCCAGCCAGAGGATGAGGTGAGGGAATATGGTGGAGGATGCAGGGAGGATGAAGAGGATGAAGGACCATGCTGCCATGCTCTGAGAGCTTTCCTGTACAGAGCTTTCCTTCTGGGGACTGTTTTGCCTCTGCCACACATCTCGTCCCCCTCTGTCCTTACCTGCAGGAGTACATGTGGTTCTTCCTGACGCTCCTCCTGAAGAAGCCTTTGCAGCCATCACAGCTGGAAGCCCCGTAATGCTTCCCCGTGGCGCGGTCCCCGCAGATGGCACACAGCGCGCTCACCCCGATGCTGTTGGAGGTGTTGAGGTTGGCTGCTTCCGACGGAGATGTGTCTGCTTGGGGAAGGACGCAGGGAGAAGAGGGTGAGACAGACAGCCAACATCTATCTCCTAGCTCAGTCTGCAGCGAGACGCCTGATTTTTGGAGGAACCGGTCAGAGATGTGCGTGAGGAGTGGAGGTGCCCCAAGTGTCCTAAGTCACTGCAGCCCCCTTGAACGTGTACAAGCTGCTGGTGTGCCATGGTGAGACAGCTCTTCCCAAAGGCCTGCCTCCAGCAGTGCCTTCAGACTGTACAGAAACCCAGCTGTCACAGAGCGCAGCCCAAATTCCTGGGGGATTTGCAGATGCTTTGGGCTGCTGTGGCATGGCCAGAGGGTGAGCTGGTGCAGAGTTAAAGCTGAGGCCTTACAGCTCAGGGTGAGCTGCTGGGTTATGAGCATGGTGTTTGTGTTATAGCCCTGAAAGAGCCCAAGTCAGCCCTGAGCAGACGCTGTTACAGAAATGAGGTGCTGTAGAGCCTCTGCCAGGCATGGAGCTGCAGTCTGCGCAGCATGTCTGCAGCTGAACGAGGCCTTCAGTGCACAGCAGGCTCAGCTGGAAAACTCATGGGCAAATACTAGCCATGCAAGGAAGCATGGATCAAGCTAACCCGGCAAGAAAGGGCAACACTGCACACAGAGGAGGTGGTGTGCTGGGTATCTTCCAGTCTGGTAACACTCCTGCTGGGACAGACGGGCCTCACAGTCCTTAAAAGCTGTAAGGGGACTGGCATGTGCAGGGCTCTTTTGGGAGGGTGGGGAATTGCAGCAGTCTCTGTAGGAAAGGACACCTGAAAGGCTCAAAACCATACAAGCCCTACACTTAAACCCCTGCAGCAAGCCAAACAAATCTCAAGGCTGAAGGGATCAGCTCGTAATTCAGTTGATCTAATTGTCCCCTCCTGTGCACATTTTCTTGTATCAGCATGAGCACATTCCCCTGCCTCAGTGGAAATCCCATTTGCAAATGATACCCTGGATCTACAAAGCCATAGAAACCTGCTGAGACTTTAATACCTGAGTATATTGATCCCGACAGCCCCCATCAAATGACAGTCATGGAGATCAGCAGGACCAACAAAGGCTCTGACCAAGACAGCAGCGGTTTCTGCCAGAGGCACTGAAAGAACATCCTCTAGCACCACTCGTGTCCCTGCCTGCATCCCACAGCACAGAGGTGGGCATTGCACAACGAATGGGGCTCCCCAGAGGATGTTCACCCCCCATTTCTGGAGGCCTGACAGTCAGATGCTGAGGGTGAGCCCTGATCTCCCCAGGTGTGTGGGCAACAGCTCTGCACTCCTGATCCCCCTCTTGCCCTCTCCCTCACCATGCTCCTCCTGGATTTGGCAGGGACACAGTTAATGCCTGCCCAGGGAGAGCCACAGCTGCTCCCACTTGGCACCCAGCAGAAAGGGGCTGCAGGGCAGCTGGGGGCTATAGAAAGGCTGGTCCCAGAGCAGCTGCCTTTACTAGCTGGAGCCTGTGTGCTGGGGGAAGGCTAAGGTAATGCCTCTGGGACTTTAATACTAGCTTTTATTTAGTATGGGGATGTGCACGGCATCCTCGTGCCACCCCTTGGTTCAGATGGGTGGGCACAAGTAGCTTGGAGTGGATGCCATGACCCTGGCAGTGAGCTCACACAGGGCGTCTCAAGCCAGCCCTCCCCTGGCTCTGGCAGCAGTTTTCATTTCCCTGCTTGCTTTCTGGTTCCTTGTGTCCCTCCTATATTGCTTTCCTGAGTCACAGTTTGCTCCCTCTCTGAGCCTGGCACACGCGGCTGTACCTCGGGGCTGGGGGAGCTGTGTTCCTGGACGTGCTGCCCTGCCTGCTTGGGAAGCTCCTTCCCCTGCTCCCAAACCCCTGAGCCCCTTCCCCTGGGCCCATGTGTCCCTTGCCTCCAAAAACCTTCCTCTGAATTCATCCTGAGGGTCAGCTGCCTCAGTGTTGTTCCAGAAAGTTAGATTTTCAGTTTGTTTTCAGTTTGCTTTCTATGTTTAAACATGGAGCTTGCAACCGAGAGGATAAAAGAGCCAATGGGTCCATAATCACAATGCTTGTCTATCAGTGAAAGCCCAGATACGTCCCTCCTAGTGGTGTATCGTGCTCTAAACAGAGGAATATATAACAGGAGAAACTGGCACTGTTATTGGAGAAATCTTCGTCTGATAGGAACTGGTTTTGGTGAGCTAATGGTTTCCTATCGAGTTTATTTTTATGGTGCTAGAAATATGGGCTCCTGGCTGTTGAAGGGAGTTTAATGGACACAGGTTTGGAGTTAAAGTAAATGGAGGAAGAAAAAAACAACAACACAGTTTGTGACCTCACAGCTATGTTAGGATGACAGGACCCCCTCAGGTTCCCCCAGCCAGCCCAAACACAGGATGCGTTTGCAGTGGGACAGTGGCAAACTTCTCGGAGCTGAGTGGCCACCCCGGGCTGGAGCTGGGGAGCCCCACAAGGCACCAGCCGAGCTCTCTGGCACTCCATGGGCAATTGCCCTGGGGTGAGACCAGCCCCTCACCAGGACCTAGGCACATGAGGAGAGGGGTCAGTGCCTTGTAGCGCAGCTGACTCATCTGCCTCTAGGGCACATTTTGTGCTGCCCCTGAGCTAGCTGTATGAAATTCCTGTGTCCCTCTGTCCCGTGGAGCCCCGCTCGCAGCCCCATGCAGGGTGAGCTTTTCTGGTTTCCCCACACAGAAACCTCTGTGTGCTGTCTGGGAAAAGAGCACAGGAGCAAAGCCTGGGCTTGTCCTCAAGGGTCCTGCTGGGTGCCGGCAGAGCCCAAGGGGGCTGCTTTTGGCCCTGAGCCCCCTAGGTGGTTAGGGCCAGCCCTGGGCACAGAGGGCAGGGGGAGGCAGTTGCCAATTTTGGCACCATGATGCCATATCTGCGGGGAGGGAGCTGCAGCTGGGGAAAGAGCTGTGTTGCTGGCACGGTCCTGCCAGCACAGGGGTGCCCAAGCAGCCCCGGTGACACGGCGAGCAAGAGGAAAGGGCTCAGGGAGTCATTTTCTGCAGTGTTACTTGTTTAGTCATTAATGCGTATTTAGAGAGATGTTAGTGGGACTTGGAGAGGAGTCTCCTCTTATTGCCGAGTGTTAATTAACAGTACACCTTGGTTCCCAAATGGGTGGGCCAGTATTGCAAATCCTGGTGGGTTACGTGTGATTCCACCCTCCTGAAGGGATGGGAGCTCTCAACAACCCCTGCCAGCTCCACTTGCTCCCCTCCCAGCCAGGCTGAGCCCCCAGGGACCGCACTCCCACCCAGCACAGCACAGGTGAAGGGCTGTGGCCTCAGGGGCAGTGCTTGAATCACCTTTAAAAGCAATTTCACCCTTACCAGGCACTAAGAAGCTTTCTGGTCTGGGGAAAACCTAGCTACAGCCACTCCTGGGATAGGACTGGCTTTCCGCTCGAGTCACGGGCTCGGTGGAGTTTCTGGTGAGTGTTGGGCAGCATTTCAGTTTGCAGCTTTGGAGTGTGTTTTTTTTTTTTTTTTTCTTTTTTTTCCTTTCGGAGCCTGTGGGCACTGAGACCCACCTGTCCTCAGCTCAGGCTCTGGGCTGTGGCTTAATGCCCGGAGTGGACCGCTAATCCCACCGCGCTCTTGGTACGCGCCCATCCCCGGGGTGTCCGGGCACCATCCCTCCCATGCCCGGCACTGCTCCACCACCTCCATTTCTCTCTGGGTAAAGCAAAAAGCCCCCACAAGCCACTCAGCAGAGCCCCGCGGTGCCCCCAGCCCTCCCCAGGAGTGATTCGGCGACCACCTTGGGGCCTCGTCCCTCAGGAGAGGCGGCGGCGTGGGGACTTACCATTGCCCATAGCCAGCACCTGCATGTTCTCAAACTCCAGAGTGGTGTACGCCGGGTCCAATGCCGCGCTATAATCTGCCATCTCCATGTCTATCAGGGCTTTGGAAAGGCGCATTATCATCGGCAAACACGGGCCAGATTGTACTGATTCCCTTGTCCGAGGCTATTGGCCCTTATGCCTCTCTCTGCCTTCGCTGCGTCCCCTATCTGTTGTCTTTTATTTCAAATATTTCTCTGAAAGGATTTGCTGAGCCTCAAGGCCTATACTCCCCAGAGGGGTGGAGGCAGGAGGCAGGGGGTTAATCTTTAATCACCCACTGCTGAAGGCTGCTAGGCTGTGTGTTTTTTTTTTTTTTTGGTGGAGCAGCAGTGATTCTTGTTGACTGTTTATTATTGAATCTCGAGGCGCTGTGCTCATTTCAGCCCCAGGCACACATGAGACCGCGGGAGAAGGCGCTCGCCACCCAGGAAACACCTTCCTGGGGCTATTGACCTTGATGCCGAGCTGCTGCTTTTGGTCTTAATTGTACCTGGGGTGGAAAACTTGGAAAAAACCCTGCCTAGAGAACAAGGCTGCTCTTCACTTCTGTCATCGTCTTCCCCTCTCCACCGTTTGTTGCCTTCGCCCCCCGATTTCCCCTTCTGGCTCCCTCCCTCCCACAGCTCTTCCTTTTTTCTCCCTTTCCTCTCCGGGAAGGTCAGCGCCCGCATTGCAATTTACACGTTGCTATGCAAAGTAACAGCGTAGGGCTCGCTTTACTTCCCTATAAACCCGGTTTTACAGGGGCTGAGTGCCCTATAAACAGGTCCCACTCTGCAGCCGTGACCAAACAACCTTCAGGGTGAGGGTTTGCCGAGTGCCAGGCACGCAAGCAGAGCGGCGAGCGAGGGGCTGAGCCAGGCCGGGGCAGGCTCGGGCACCGGGGGCACGGCCGGGCCTGCTCCTGCCCCTTCCTCCTGGTGCTAGAGCCACCCGCTGTCAGACACACCCCAGCCCTGCTTTGACTGACACGTCTTAAAAGTTTCATTGGGCGTTTTACAGCATAGCAGGGCTTTGCTCTGCAGTGTGGAGTTGCCTTCTGGGGATTCAACCTGCGCTGCCTTACAGGCCTCCAGCCTGTGGCATGGCCGACCCCTTGGGGCAGACCCCAGGGGCACACAAGCAGCCAAGCTCTTGCTCTCTGGCTCCAGCTGACCCAGGGCATGCCAGCCCTCTGCAGGACTGACAAGTTCCAGTGTAATGTGCACCCCCTAAAAGCGCGAGATCAGTGAGCGGGCATTTAATTGATCACTGAATGGCGTCACCTGGATTGCTCTGGAGAACGAGCAACTGATGATTCAGTATCAGCTTGCTCTGCATTGAAAACATCCCCGATTTCACAATCGGCTGTGTCCACGCTGCCAATGTGGGCTTCAAATATGTTTGTGTTTGTGCCTCTGGGTGCACCAATGCAGCCTTGTGTCCCTGGGCCATCCTCGCTGTGGTGGCTAAATTAGGATGTAGGTAGCACTTCCAGATAGCACCTTTACCTTTGGGCTACAGATCTGCAGGAGCAAAGCGGGGAACAGGGGAAAGCCCCTGATTTCCTACTTGGGACTAACAATAAATGATCCTTTTCTTCAGGGGAAACAGTCCTCTGCTCTGTGCTCTCAGGAGACAGGCTGGACCCTCTCTGCACTCACGTGGCTGGTTGTACTTTCCTTCGGCAGGAACAGTCCTGGGCTAAAAATGAATTTAATGATGTGCACCAGGGTGTAGCTGGTAAGGTGGAGTGTAGCCCTGCTATGGCCTCATTTCAGGGCCCTCCGTCCCAGTCCTGCTCAGGCCACAGTGATCCCTTTGATTAGATAAATGCTACAGACACTAGGTCAAATATGTGCAGGATTTGCCACAGTGTCTAGTAAAATATCATAAAAGCATGGTCTGTTTTGCTCTGTTCAGCAAAACAAGCCTTTTGCTTAAATAGCCTGCTGACAAAATAAGGCTGCAAAGGCCGTTTGCTCCTAGGGCAGGAAGGATTAAGAGGGCCGGGAATAGAAGATGGGGAGGCAGTGTGTGTGTGAGAGAGGCAGATAAGGAGCGGGGAAGTTTGGAGAGCATTAGGTGGCTCACGAGGCAGGGAGCTGTCAATGGGACGTGGAGCTTTCCGTCCCCAGGCTTGTGTTGACTGTTGTTTTCTCATTACCGGTGTCCTCTGCCTGGTGCACCCTCACAAAGCTCGTCTTAGCGCAGAGGTGAAGGACCAGACCATCAAGGACACAGCGCACTTCCTATGCCCCCAAGATGGGCTCACAGCATGGGGACGAGCCCCCAGCTGGAAATGTGTCTGCTGCAGGAGGCTGGTGTCCCCCTGGGGATGGGCTGCCTGGGGGGTCCTTGTCTCTGTCCCACATCTCTGCATGGTGGCTTAGGACCACGATGGCCTGTGGCTGTTTTAGAATGGAGATGTGCTGACTTGAAGCTGTTTTGGAGGCTGATTTGAACATTTCTGTTCCAAGCCAGGTGCTCAAGGGAATTTCAGCTTTCAGGCCATCTCCTTCTCCTTTTTCTGTCCCCTCCACCCATGCCAGAAGATGGCTGCAAAGGAAACTTTTACAGCTTCAGGCCATGGAGCCTTCTGCACTAAGTAATTATTTAATTTTTATCGGTTGAACAATAAATCCTTCAGCCTTTTTCCACTCTAGCACCTCATGACACTAATTCTGCCTTATCTGTGTATCTTTGGCAAATTAATCCAAAGCAGAAGGGGATTCCCTGAAAATAAGATCTATGCCTTTCAGCAAAGGAGGATGGGGAATAGACTCTGTAATGGAGCATTTATGGGAAGGATACCATCAGCTTCCACACTTGCTAGCTCTTTATGCCAAGTGGGTGAGCGGGCTCCTCCTGCCCTTCTTGAACAGTGTTGTAGGATCAAGACACAATTCAAGCTGACAGGGACCTCAGAAATCTCCAATCCAGCCTCCTGCTCAGAGCAAACCTTTGGTTTTCACTGTTCCAGCTCAGCACTCTCAGGAAATACCTAGCAGAAGTGCCAGTGCCTGGAGCCAGCGGGACAAACCTCGCAGAGTGCTGGCGATGCTTCTGCTGCTGCTTGGCAGCCACCACTCCAGATCGCTCCGACCATGTCGCTCCACAACTGGAGTGGCTTTTCCTTGGCAAGCAAGTGAAGTAGAGCTGGGCTCCGGATCTGAAATCTCTCCAGTCCAGGAAAGCCCTGAACAAGGTCAGGGCTTTGCAGCCAGCCCCAGGGCCACTGCTCAGGGACCGTACCGGCAAAGCCCACCGCAGTTTTGCCAAGCAAGCTGGTGGGGAAGCACAAAGCTGAGGTACAAGACTAAGACCAAAAGTCCCAGGGGAACATCGCCAGCAGAGTCATCTCCACACATGCAAAGGTCCCTTCTTTTTTTTTTCCCCTTTGAAATTTCAAATTCCAGTTTGTGGACAAAGTCCTGCCTATCTGAGAATATAGATCTTCGACCACTGACCAAACTCCACTCCAAGCAGTCCTGAGGGCTGCGTTTCCCCTTGCCCACGGATGCCTCTGCTCAGTCCCTGGATCTGCCAGGATCTCACCGAAACTTTTGCACCAGAACAGAGCGCTCGTACTTGCAGAAAGTGGATTTTGCACATTTGAACCTTATCTTCAGTATCTTCCTTTCTGAACGTGGAATGGGAAGGACCATCTGTAATAACCAGGTAGGAGCCTTATCACCTGCAATTCATTTGGGCAGCCACAGAAAATGAGAAGGTGAAACAAGGGCTTCCATTGTGCTTATACTAGCAATTTTAGCTCATCATTTAAATTAGGGAAGGGGAAAAAAAAAGGCAGCTTCAGAAGGGATGGAAAACACGAGGGCACATTAGCTCTTGGAGGCAAAGCCACTCCATATGGTTAACTGATAACTCCAATTTGCCTCTTCCCTCTCATCTTTTCTGATTCTCCTGATTAAGCTCAACTTATTCTCATGCTAATCATTTCTTGACCTGTTTATTCTGCATTAAAAAATTAACAGAGAGCAGTTTACTGCATGACTTGTTCACACAGCAATGCTACAGATTAGCAGGCAGGCTTTAAGCCTCAACGCAAGCCTTTTGGGTGAAGCACCCCGTCTGCGCAGCTCGAGGATGAGGTTTTTTTCCTGTTTTTAAAGAACGGCTTTTTCTAAAGTCAATATAAATCCCCCTCCCTTCATGCCTTAAGTATATTTGCTCTGTGGCTATTTCCAAAGGGGAAAGATAAAGCCAAGGGCTAGTGTTTTGTCAGACTTTCTGTAAACAGGGATATTTAGGCCACACTGTCAAGCCCCTTTGCCTTCTACTGCAGAGAGTCATGACTTACGAGGCAAGCTGCTGGCGTGTTAATAAGCAGCTCCAAGGAATTTGCAGGGGCTGCGGGGGACTGCAGGTCAGCACAGCTGAAACAAGCCCCGAGTTGAAGCAGAGGATCTTCGTTTAAGCTCCAGGCAATCATCTGGCTGACACACGGAAAGGTGTCAGTCCCCAAAACGTCCACGGCAGCAGAGAGAAGTCTCCAGGAAAACAGATCATTAACCAGAAGCTGTTTAGGGTCTGTCTGCCCCTTGCCAGCCCCATGCAGCACATCCCTGCCCTGGCAAAACACACAGAAGAGCCCTTGGTGGTGCACGGCTCACGTGGGAAGCGGATCAGGAGGTGACCGAAGTGACGTGTCAGAGTGAGATTTGTGCCCTGGGGAAGATGCGGGCATTTTGTTCAATGACAAATTCTCTCCAGTGCTGAAGTTCCTGTGGCTGTGGTTGGGACAGATGTTGTTCGGAGGCCTTGGGGCGATGCTGCTGTGTCAGCCGGGACGCTGGACGGGGCAGTGCCATAGCTAAGGCAGAGCAGCTCCCGAGCAGATGCCGGGCACGTTGCCACTGCTGAGCCCTGGGACATGCAGCAGTGCCTGGGGCTCCCCAGCACAGCTCTGGAGGATGCAGACAGCTTTGCTGCGACCTCGGGTTATTTCTCACTGGTGCCAAAAGTTTTGAAAGGTAGCCAAACCACCCCAAACAGTCCAGGCCCCCAGGACATAAAATCACTGTACAGCGAACCAAGGCGATTTTTGGACATGCGCTTCAAAGGATGCAGACAACTCTGCTTGAAATCCTCTCCAAAAGCAACATGTGCTTTTCAACCGAAGCCGGGATGGATGTTGGAGGTGGAGGCAATGGAGCTAGAATAAATAGCTGCTCTGTGAAAGTGGCAGAAAAAGAACTGCAAACACGGGGACAGACA